TTGAAAAGAAATTGTTGAATGATTGGGGAAGGTTTTTGTGATGATAATTCCTGACAAATAGGCAGTTGAGGAATACCACAAGGTCGCTTATTTTTAATATTTTGGAGATTAGGTATAGTACATTAGATTTAGAGTTATTATACTGAAAATATATTATTTTCAAGGCTTTATTTTAGAGATGGGACAACCTTAAAATGAAATGTTTATGGAATTGTCCCCATACTTGACATGCATATCTTAGATGGGACCCAAAAATAGCATGATATATATTTAGCAGAGTTTCTAGATTAACATAATGGCGGACTTTGGCTAGCATTCCATTAGATCTTCTGAGTTTCATTGCTAAGTCATTCAGATGGCCTTGAAAAGAAAGATTAGAATCAATTTTAATCCCAAGATATTTAATAGAGTCTAAAGGATAAATTTTTTGTCCACTTAGTCTGAAATTTAATTGCTTTTTAATTAGTGCCAGATTGGATTTAAAGATGATAAGCTCTGTTTTGTTAGAATTAAGAGAAAGTTTATTAGAACGAAGCCACTGAACAAGACTTCCAAGATCATGATTAATATGTTTGTTGATTTTTTTAAGTGATTTGTCAACCAGTAGCATGTTAATATCATCAGCAAAATGGTAAGCAGTTGCAAATTTAAAAGAAGTATTCAAGTCATTAATAAAAAGAAGAAAAAGAAGTGGTCCTAAAACTGAACCTTGTGGGACGCCATTTAAGCAATTCTGTAAATCAGATTTAGTGCTATTAATGGAAACAAACTGTGTTCTATTTTTGAAATATGAAGTAAACCATTTTAGCGGGATGCCTCTGATTCCGTAGTATTCTAACTTTGTGAGAAGGATGGAGTGATCCACAGTATCAAATGCTTTCTGCAAATCTACAAACACCCCACATGCAAAGTGTTTATTATCTAGAGCTCTTCTAATCTTCTCAGTAATTTCAATAAGTACAATGGTTGTAGAATGTTTGCTTTGAAATCCATATTGATGTTGGTACAAGCATTTAAATTTATCTAGAAACTTGTATAGTCTGTTATGCATAGCCTTCTCAAAAAGTTTGCTTAGGTTGGAAAGAAGGGAAATGGGTCGATAGTTAGAAAAGTCTAGTAAGGAGCCTGCTTTATAAATTGGAATGACTTGAGCTACTCTAAAAACATCAGGGAATTTGCCATTTTTAAAAGAATTATTTATCATAATGCTAAGAGGTTTGGAGATTATGTGAGAGGTAAGTTTAAGAAAAAATGGAGGTATATGTATATAATGTATATAACAATAACATTGTGATCTGTTCGCTAGGTACCCTAGTAGCAAACAATATTGGCGTAATATTGGCACGATATTGGGTATCTTGGCTAATCTTGGCCAAGATATCCGATATTGTGCCAATATTGTCAAGCAATATTACGCCAATATTGTCTTACCAATATTGGCCAATATTATCCATTATCGTTTTACTGATATTGTTATGCCAATATTGACAAAATATTGCGCCAATATTATCCATTATCGTTTTACTGATATTGTTATGCCAATATTGGCGAAATATTGTTTGCCAATATTGGCTTTATATTAAATTTTACATATTGGTACGCATGCGTAACATTAAGGGATATTTATAATGTAGGTATGCGGAAATAGCCGTTTTACGGAATCGAATTTTGTGCTAAAATTCTGTGCCACATTTTTTGAATTTTTTTTGAGGTAGCGTCAGACAAACGTTTTGTTGTGGTGTTTCTTTTTAGAAAGGTATATCAACATAGATTATTTTTGAAAAGAAGAGACTTTGATCTATATTTTTAATAATCAATTATGTATGGATGATTTACTTTTTGTTGACTTTATAGATATTGAAAATATACTTGATGTTGTCACGTGAAATTTGTATTGATGGAATGCTGAGACATGTTGAAAAACTACTTAGACATTTTTTTACATCCTTTATTTATTCACCTACCAAATTTCAAGAAAAAATATTATGTAGCAGATAATTTAAAAAGTGTAGCAGTTTTGGTACCTAAATTTTGTTTTCACAAATTCGCGATGGGTGTTGTTGTGGTTGGGGGAGAAAGTCGGAATCTACATACTATGTATATAACAATAACAGTAATAATAATACTGTCATTATTATTGTTGTCGTTATTTTAATAATTTTATTGTTTTATTTTTATTATTCAATCATAATTTATGTATATAATATAAATACACTTTATTATGGTGGGTACGCGCATATCGTCATTTACGGAACCGATTTTTGTGCTAAAATTTTGTGACTCGTTTTTTTCACTTTTTTTTAGGCAGCGTGGGGTAGACGTAGTTTTGTGGAGTTTCTTTTTAGAAGCATATATGCACATAGATACTTTTTGGAAAGAAGAGAAGCTGATCTTTATTTTTTTTAAAACCTTTATGCATGGTTACTAAACTATTTAGCGGGTTTATTTTGCTCCTGAATATTTGGTTGATGTTTTCACATGAATTTGTAGTCGAAGGCATGAAGTTTCCGCTTTTTTGATTGTTCAGCCACCTTTATACATGTATTTTCTATTTATGTGCCAAATTTCAACGAAAAATAATAGGGAGCAGATATGTAACGAGGTGCTTTTTTAAATATACTGCTTTTTTGAAGTAGGGTTAGACAAATGTTTTTAGTGGTGTTTTTTTTTTAGAAACATATATAAACAAAAAATATATTTGGAAAGAAGAAAGGTTAGGCTTGATTTTTATAGTACTTTTATGTATAACCACTAAACTTTTTTTATGGTTAGTTTTGCTATAAACTTTCATGAAAATTTTGTTGATGTTCTCACATTAAGTTGTTATCGAAGGAATGAAGTTTCCGCTTTTTTTGTTATTCAGGCACTTTTTTGCATGCATTTTCTTTGTACATGCCAAACTTCAGCCAAAAATATTAGGGAGCAGATAGTATAAGAATTGTAGGACTTTTGGTACCTAAATTCGGTTTTTTTTGTTTTTGTTTTATCTGTAAGAGAAATACGGGGAGGATAGGGGGGTGGCGAATGGTAAACAAAAAAATTCTTACTACATTGTATTATTTAATTTTTAATATTAGATTATTTTAATAAATAAAAAATGGCAAAAGTCATAACAAAGAAGACTTCAAAAAGTAAGTTAATTTGTTTTTCATGATAATAATATCTTTTTTAAAAAACAAAACAATAATGATAAGTTTAAAAACCTTAATCTTTGTTTACATCAGCATGATGTAAACAAAGTTGTTGAAGTTAAAAAATTAATAACGGAAATGTTTATGAAGTTTAAGATCGAGACGGAAGAAATGCTTAAGCAACAAGAAAATACTTTCATCAACATAGTTAGTTCTAACACAAAAATATTAAATGATCGATTAGACAGAGTTGAACTTAATATACTTCAAAACTCAACTAAAATAGCATCAATTGCAAAGGAAGTGGAAGAAATCAAAGAAAGTTTAAATTTTCATGAAGATCTCTTTAATAAAAAAATAAAAACCGCCATTGATTGTCTTGCAAAAGAAAATCTGGCAAACTTCAAAATACAAAATAATAACAATGAACTTATAAAAGTAAATAACAAAATCAGAGAGATTGAGGATAGGTCAAGGCGTAATAATTTAAGAATCGATGGTGTCCTTGAAAATGACAATGAAAGCTGGGCTGAATGTGAAAAGAAGGTCAAAGAAATATTCAACAACATATTAGGAGTCAAAAATGTAAACATCGAAAGAGCGCATAGAATAGGCAAAGTAGTTCACAACAAACATAGAACAATAATACTAAAACTTCTTGATTTTAAAGATAAAACTGAAATTCTTAACAACTCTTCCAAATTAAAAGGTAAAAACATTTTTATATATGAAGATTACTGCAAGGAAACAAATATTATACGAAAGACACTACATGAAAAAATGAAAATAAAAAGGCAAGCTGGCAAATACGCGTATATTTCATACGACAAACTTATTGTTCGCGATTGGAATTCCAAAAAAAAGTAATATATTTATCTTTTAAATTTTTAAAACATTTCTAAATATTTTAAATGTAATAAATTAACGTTAAATACTAACAAGACTAAATAGATTCTTTTTCATTCCTTCTCAAAAAAACGTTCTTTACCAGATATTATACCTCAAATTTATATTGATGAAACTCTAATAAAAAGAGATTCTGTTATAAGATTCCTAGGTGTTTATCTTGATGAGAATATTACTTGGAAAAACCATATTAATCATGTAACCACCAAGGTATCTAAAAATATTGGCATTTTGTATGAAGCCCGACCTTACTTAAGCAAAAAAAGCCTTACGCAGCTCTATTACTCATTCATACACAGCTATATAAACTACGCAAATATTGCATGGGGTAGTAACGAAAAAAGTTAACTACAACGTCTATATCGCCAACAGAAACATGCGATTCGCGTGATTAATTATGTGGATCGCTCTACACATTCAAATCCTTTCTTTGATGAAATGAAAATACTTAATGTCTACAAACTTAATGTTTTCAATGTTTTATGTTTTACTTATATGTGGAAAAACAATTTATCCCTACCTGTTTTTAACGACCTTTTTATATGAAAACTTACTAATAAGTACTCACTAAGAAATAAAGATTTGCTAAATGAACCATTTTGTAGAACAAATTTTAATAAATTTTGTATTAATTATAGAGCACCTTACCTTTGGAATAAAATAGTTCTGTCTAATTTTGATCCTTTTATCCGTTTTTCTGTTTTTAAAAATGAATTAAAAAAATTCATTCTTGCTATGGATGACATTTTAAGTTACTATTAGCTTGAAGTATAAACTTGATTTATGAGATTTATAATAATATTTATATTCATAAATTTATTTTCTTTAATTTATATCAGATCTATAAAATTTATTATTATGGATTATCATAACAGATTTGTGAGAATTATTATTACAGATACGTGATTAATATTATGAATTTATTATTATATATTTATTATTACGGCAGTCCGAGTTTCGGAATTTCGATAAACAAAAAATTTAAAAAATTTAAAATACAATTTATTCAAAATATTAGTTAAAAATATACAATAACTCATGCGACAACTTTCACACTTGTGAATGTAATAAATTGTTTGGTAAATTTGGTGACAAGGCAATTAAATTTATATGGAAGACTTAGATTTTATACTTGCTTTGCAACTGAGCGATTCTTTTCTACAAGAACCCTTTAAAAATAACGAAAAACCTTTATCAATTGTCGATCCAGCATGGGAACTTATCGACCCCATACCAGATATACGAGATCTTTTTGTACAGTTTGACTCTTCATTTTTCGAGGGAAAATTGGCTGGCGTTGAAGTGAAATGGAGCTCAAGAATGACTTTGTAAGCTTAAATATCTTGGTAATTTTTTTTTTTAGTAGGCAACATTTTATCTGAATTTTGTTGTTGTTTGTTTTAGGTGTGCAGGACTGTGTTGTTATGAAAGAAAAGGTGGCCTTTGCAGTATTAAATTAAGTCAACCGTTATTAAAACTTAGACCTCGCAAAGACCTTGTTGAAACTCTGCTTGTGAGTTGTTATTAAAGTTATTATTATTATTATTATTATTATTATTATTATTATTATTATTATATATATATGCATATATATATATCCATATGTATATATATATATATATATATATATATATATATATATATATATATATATATATATATATATATATATATATATATATATATTATTATCAAGCTACAATGACATCGTTGTGAGAAATGGCTATATAAAGACCATTTATGGTAGTTGTAAATATTGACTATCCTGTTTGTGAAAAAGTTGTACCGGATATCAGACTTGTTTTGTTCTCTGGTTAGAAAGTTTTGTTGTCTTGTGCCATGATTTTTTTTTCTTGGGTTAAACTAGAATATAAGTTTATTTTATTTAGTTTATTTTTAATTTTGAATTGTTGTATTTGGTCTCCTCTTAATCGTCTTTCTTCCAGTGTTGTCAGACCAAGGCAGCAGATCCTTTCCTTGTATGTTTTACCACTAATTTCTCGGACTTGTTTAGTTGCCCTTCTTTGGACTGATTCAATTGCTTTGATATCTTTTAATTTATTCGGATTCCATACTGAAGCACCGTACTCCAAATGTAGCCTCGCCATTGGCGTGAAGAGCATATTAAAAGTGGTAATGTTAATGTATTTGAATAAATTTTTAAGCTGACCCAATATACGATTTGACATTGCTATTATGGAATAAATTTGCCGGTCCCACGATCAGCGTTGATGATCACTCCTAGGTCTTTCTCAAACTCTACCTTTAATAATTGATGCCCATTTACCTGATAATTATACTTTTGATTTGATTTCCCAATGTGAATTACTTTACATTTGCTCTCATTTAAAGACATTTGCCATGTTTCTCACCATTTTGATATAATGCTAATATCATTTTGTAAACTGATCGAATCGTTTATATCTTTTATGATTCCAATCATTTTTGTGTCATCTGCAAAAAGTTTTGAATTATTTTTGATTTGTAATGCCAGGTCATATATGAAAATTACAAACAATAATGGCCCTAGAACCAAGTCTTGAGGAACTCCACTAAGCACATGAAGCCAGTCTGAAATGGCGACTCCTAGTATGACACACTGTTTTCAATCTTTTAAATAGTTAATTATCCACTTCAATATTATATCAACTGGAATCAGTTATTATATGAACTGGAGTCAGTAGCTGTTGTAATTACATCAAATGATTCAAGCAAGTTTGTCGTGCATGATTTTCCCTTAACGAAGTCGTGTTAATCCTTTGATATTATATTATTTGTTGAAAGATGTTCTACTATTTTGTCCTTTATGATGCTCTCCATTACTCTACAGACCACTGATGCTATAGAAATGGGTATGTAATTTGAAACATCCGAATGACATCCACTCTTGTGAATTGGCGTAACATTTGCTAGTCTCCATAATTCCAGTATTTTACCACTATCAGACCTTGTGATGAATAAAAACTGCGTGACGCATAAGCACAACATGATTTTTGACGTCATTAAATTCTTTTTATTTGCTTTTCATATTTATCAACATTACCTGCACCAATTTACTTAATTACCGCAAAAGTACTTTAAGTCATTAATGTAGAAATGTTATTATTTAAAAATGTTTTTGAATGTTTCGTTTTTTAAAATGTAAAAACATTTGTTTATTTTCTCGACGTTTGACACGTTTTGTCTATACTAAACGAATAAAAAACATTAAAACTAAACATTTAATAAAGATTATAAAATATGCTAATATTTGATTTTTTTTTCTCAAATATGTAATTTAAAGTTTTTCAAATAATTATTTTTCCTTTTTAAAAAGTCAGCGTGTAATAAACTGGAAATTTTAATATTGTACAATTAAAAACTGTGCATTAGCTAATATTTTAAAGCAGTTGATAAGCACAATCACTCATATTACTAAAAAACTTTAACGAGCGTTTTTAATAGATTTTTAATGTTTACAAGGAATTTTATTTCTAGTAAAATAAGTAAAAGAGTTTCGGTAACGTTTTACAAAAAAGCAATTGCTATTATTTAAGTTTTATTATTTAAAATTTTTTTTGAGTTAATTTTTACAAAAATTTTAATAACTGTTTTTTTTTATTGAATCAAGTAGAATTCGTTTTAGTATTAATCCTTTTATTTTTTTTTATTTGCGCTTACCAATTTTTAAAATGCTTCCTCGAAAATACTCTTAAATACTTTAAATACGTCTAACAGTTAATAAATATTTTTAAATCTATGGAATAATTTTAAAACCTTACAAACCCCCGTAAAATAATTATTTAAGTTAAAAATCTAAAACTAAAAGAAAGTGTTTTTGTTCATGTTTTTTCGACAATTTTGCTATTGCTGAATAAATTTATTAAAATGTTCGCTTAAAAAGATTTAAACTTTTTTTTTAATTTGAATTTTTTCTACTTGTAAATAATAAGCATATTTAATTTTTTTGTAATTCAAACGTTTATATCAACTGTGTGCGGTTTTTAAAATACTTTATTAAATGTTAAAATAATTGTAAATTACTTCATTAAAATTCCGCTCAAAAATATCTTTAAATATACTCAAACAAAAAATTTTTTGCTCGACGCAAATAGTCCTAACAGGCTGTCAAGTTGTCATTTTTTTCAATTTTTTTCAGTTTTTTTTTTTCGTTATTTTTTTTCATTTTTTTGTTAGATTCTGACATTTTTTTCTTGAACTTTTTACACTTTAAAGTTTTTTTTATAAAAAAATACTTAGAATTGCTGTTTTTGATATTTTTAAGTTGTTTTAGACATTATATTACTTAGTTTTTTATTTAATTTTCAAAATTATTTTATAATAACAGTTACAATCTTTTATATTCACATTTTAATTTTAATTATCCATTTGTATTGCTAAATTGGTGTTATTATTTAAAAAAATAAATCATTCTATAGTATAGAATTAGTAAAGTTAGTGATTTTTATATTTAGTTTTTAGTATATTTATCAATAGATTATATAGTATAATGGTTAAGTGGAATGATGTGTGGTTGGAAAAGTTAGACAAAAATCTAGTGAAATCCAATTATGGGCTGAAAAAAGAAACTCTGAATATGCTATCTGTGAACTATGCAAAAGTGATTTAAAATTCAGTTCAGTTGGTTTCCAAGCACTATATCAGCATTCTTCAAAACCTAAACATAAGTCAGTGTCTGATCTAAGATTTTCAAAAATTGCTCGTTATTTATATGTAGATTCTAATAAAAACTCTATTGGGGGAGAAAAAGTTATACAATTAGAGTTCTCTATAAATGAAAAAATTTCTGCTGCAGAAGCCATGTGGCTTTTTAAAGTGGCAGAGAATGATCTTGTCTTAAGACATTGTGACAACACATCAATATTGTTCCAAAGAATGTTTCTAGATAGTAAAATAAGTCAAGGTTTTACTATGAGTTGGCAAAAAGCTTCATATATTTTGCAAGATTGCCTTGGGCCATTGTTGGAAAAGCGTTTATGTGATAGTATCACGTTAAGTCAAGGTGCATTCACTTAATGTTTGATGAAACAACTACTTCACAACAAAGAAAACAAGTAGATCTTTTATGTCGTTTTTGGTAAGAAGACGAAAACCAAGTTGTTACAAAATATTTAACATCGCTGTTCTTTGGCAGAGCAACAACAGAAGATGTCAAAACAATGCTAGCAGATTTACATCATAATGAAAGGTTTTATTTACCATGGGATTGTCTTTTTAGTATTTCAGCAGTATTTAATGGTTTTATTGGCTTGTTACCATTTGTAAGTTGCACTTTGCACACAGTGCATAATGCTTTTCGAAAAGCAATTAATGTTGTCGGTGAGGATGCTGAGCTTGCATTTGATTTACATACCTGGTTCAAGGTAATGATTTGAGTAATTTTATACAGTAGAATCCCATTAATTCGGACCTTGGATAAGTTGGATTTGTACTAAGTCAGACAGATTTTCAATCCCACTTGAGCTTTCTATACATACAAAAAGCTCAGCTTATTTGGACATTCGCTAAGTTGGACTATTTATCTATTCCTTGTGAGAGTCTAACTTAACGGGATTTTACTGCAGTTAATACTAATAGAGAATTTTTTATTTTACCTATGAAGTAATTTTTCTTACATTATTATTATTTTTTATTCTAATAGTCTATTATACGACTAGCTAATAAAGTGTAGTGTCTCTATAATTTTTTTTTTGTTTAGAATGCACCCTGTAAAATAGAAGATTTTAAAAAATTATCAGATTGCATTTTTATTGACGATGAAACATTGTTTCTTCGTTTTATCAATACTAGATGGCTTACTCTTTCTTCTTCACTTATAAAGGTTCTATTAAGGTGGGAAGACACCAAAAAATATTTTTTGGAATATGTTCCAAAACAAAAGGAGTATAAAAGACACTGACAAACAACAAGCGTTATATTCGGATTCAAAGAAGTCTTAAGGAAACTGAAAATGTAATTAAAGTTATTCTTATTATTATTTTTTTTGAGTTATTACATATAATAGAGAATTGATTATTTTAGGAGTTACTTGTGTCCATCAAATTCTTTATTGGTTTAGCTCCCTTGTTTGAGAAATACTTGACAAAATTTCAAGATGAAGGACCACTTGTTCATATTTTATTTTAAAAATGAAATCTTTTAATATCTTTAATGAAACGTTTTCTTCAGCCGACTGCTGTTAATGGAAAGCTTACCAAAGATCTTTTAAAAATTGATTCTTCCGATTCAACTATCCACCTTGATTTGAATAAAATGGACTTTGGTGAGGAAGCTAAAAACAAGGTAATTTTTGATAGGTACACATTTGCTACATTTACCAGTTGCACATTTGCTACCTGGTAAATGTGTACATGGTAAATATGTATAAGTAAGTGTACTAGGCAATATAAAATTGGGCGAATAGCAGTTACAATGCCACATGTAATTACGGAAAGGGAGGTGAATATTTAAATAAATTTATATTAAATAACTGTAGTATATATATATATATATATATATATATATATATATATA